AAAGTGATAGTAGCTACAAGTGACAAGCACCTGGCTAACCACTTTTTTCCAGTGATATTTTCTATTGATAGCAGAAATGAAAACCTGTGGTAGGAGTTTATAAAAGATTGGACGTTCATATCTAAAATAAGATTATATTTAACTAAACAGTGTTAGAAAATTCACAGAAGTGCTAAACAAAAACAGTTTTAAAGTGTCAGCAGGGAGCTCTGATGGTTTTAGGCACCTTTAAAACTACTGTACTGCCAAAACTAGGGAGTGATTTATTTTACCTTATTTATTTATTTATTTATTTAAATTAGAACATTGCACGTTTATTAACATATCAGCTTTAAGCATCAAACCTACTATACCTTTATAAAAACATAGTGTGTACAAAATTTCTCCTACTTCATGTCATCCACTGCTTTATAACTTTTCTGTAATGATTGATGTAAAAAAAAAAAAAGGCAAATGATTGTAACATCTTTTTCTCATATCACTGTCTTTGTATCAACATCATTTTATCATTTTATCTTTCAAAAACAGGTACACAACATGACCAATGTATTCATATTCTAACTGTCCCACTGCTGAACTTTATTAGATACAACCTGTAATTTTCATATTTGTTTTGTCTTGAGATGATTAAATGACTTAAAAAAAAACTGTTATCCATATAGCTTTGTGTTTTCAATGATCTATTAAATTATTAGATCATTTCCCAGCAGCTATATTTTTTGGAGTTGTAGGTTTTCAAGATCAAGATTTTACTTTGAACAAATGCAAATGGCTGCCAAACCATATATTAACTTATCTACCTCGCCAACATATAATGATATGCTATCAGACTTGAATGTTTAGTGTGACAAAAAAGGTTGGTATGAGGAGCTATTTTTACCTTTTCAACATCCACAATCAGGAGGATGATGAAAAGAGGAGGTTAAAATCAGGAAGGCCAGCTCTGTGATTGGATGCCCTCTGAACTCAGTGCAGGAGGTAGGAAACAAAAGAATCTTAACTAAATGAATATCTCTGCTGGATAATGTCTCCCACCCCATGCATGAAGCTGTTGCAGTGCTGGACAGCTCCTTCAGTGACAGACTGCTGCACCCTAAATGCACCATGGTGCGTTATCACAGATCCTTCCTCCCTGCAGACTTCATAACCACCACTGTTCCCAACAACCTCAATAAGTTGTTGCATTCTTGTCGATTTTGCACAGTTTCTACCTTAGTCAGTGAAATAACATGCTGCTGTCATTTTTTCACATCTCCAAGGTCCACATTTGTGTGACCATTTTTTCTATAATCTTTTTGCTGCTGTAATCACCAGATTTTCCCCATTATGGGACAATAAAGGGATTTTCTATTCTATTATATTCTATTCTAAAGTAGAACCCCAGTCGGCCTTTGAACCCCAGTTGGCCTCAGCAGATGGCCGCTCACACTGAGCCTGGTTCTGCTGGAGGTTTCTTCGTGTTAAAAGGGAGTTTTTCCTCTCCACTGTCGCTACAAGCATGCTTAGAGTGAGGTATTGCCTTTGGGTCGATGCGACCAACTGGTTTTCCTAAGATCGAAAACTTTGAATCAATCTGACTGGATGATCTAGTTGAATTGTAAAGTGCCTTGAGATGACATGTGTTGTGAATTGGCGCTATAGAAATAAACTGAATTGATTTAATTAAAATCCAGATTACCGTACTCACTTTATATTGAGGAACCTGAACAGAGTGGCTTATTTTTTCACCAATTCCCTGCAACAACTTATTAATGCTATCTATGCTCCAACTGATTGCCTTCAATGATTATTAGATGAAGCCTTTTCTGTCCTACCATCACAAATACAAACTGGAACTGGAACTATAGCGCCAAATCACAACACAAGTCATCTCAAGGCACTTTACAGTTCAACCAGATCATCTAGTCAAATTGATTAAAAGTTTTCTATCTAAGGAAAACCAGTTAATTGCGTTGACTCATTGACTCAAATACAATCCCTCACACTAAGGATGCTTGTAGCCACAGTGGAGAGGAAAAACTCCCTTTTAACATGAAGAAACCTCCAGCAGAACCAGGCTCAGTGTGAGCGGCCATCTGCTGAGGCCGACTGGGGTTCAAGGAGACAGAAGCAGAGACACAAAAAGCAGCTGTAAAAGGCGGCCCCGTCCAGGAAACACACAGCCAGACAGACGAGCTCCGAGCCAGCTCCCATGCCAGAGGACGAAGAGAGCACATCCACTCAGTCACGGTCAGAGAAACAGGACCACACTGGAAAACAGGCCGATCTCCAGCATCTACAAACAAGGGTGTTGATGGAAGCAGCACAGCCGACGTTTCTCTCCAGGATGGTGTCACAGCCAAACAGGAACAGACGAGGCAAAGCTACTCTGAGGAAAAGCAGAGAGAGCAGAACGTTAGAGATTGAACTAACAGATTCTGCAGAGTGGGAGAATAGAGATAGAATGAAGCAGAATGATGCAATGGGGGTCCCTATGTCCTCCATAAGTCTAAACCTATAGCAGCTTAACTATAGAGATAGATCAGGATAACCTGAGCCACTCTAACTAGAAGCTTTATCAAAAAGGAACGTTTTAAGCCTAGCCTTAAAAGTAGACAGGGTGTCTGCCTCACGGACCAAAACTGGTAGTTGGTTCCACAGGAGAGGAAACAGGTTCTAATTTCTGTTGATTAATCACATCAAATAGACATTGATAGTAAGATTGGATAGCATAGAAAATTCATTCATGCCTGCATTCATGACAGTGTCTGTTTGCCTTGTGAGCAAAGCTCCACCAATCACTCTACATTCCCACCCTCACCTATGGTCAGAACCTGGGTCATGATGGAAAGAACAAGATCCCTGGCCCAGGAAAACTTTGGGCCAGATGGTGCATGTGAAGAGAAAAAAAGTTTAATGATCGAAGACAAAAAAAACGAAATAATAACTTTTAAAAAACCCTGACAATAAATGCATGTTAGGCTGTTTTTCCTCATTTTTTATGCCTACATTTTTAAAATCAACTCCCCTTTAGGACCTCTTTGCTATCTCTCTGTTTCTGATAGAATTCAGAAAATGCAGCAACCTGATCCTCTGAGGGAAATCTGATGCAGAGACAAAAGAAATAAAAAATAAATGATAGTAGAGCACAGAAGTGCTTGCACCAAACCTCAGCTCCCTCAGTCTTTGATGCTTTCCCAATGTCACTGGCCTTATCGTTTTAGGTCATGCAGTTGTTCGAACACATGTACAAAACTACATTTCTTACTGTGGCTTGGACTTAATAAAAGAGGCATCAGAAAAATTTGGATAGCTAAAAGCAGTGGGACCGGATCTATGAGGAAGAACATTAGGTCAATGGTTCATCTTACTACAAGCCAGATCACATAAATCAAAGTTTTCTTTCCCTCCATGGACCATAAAGTCATTTAACAGTGACATACAACCTCTCTCAGCAAACTCATAGCTTCCTTTGAAATTAAGTTTTGTGTGAACTGGTCGGAGCTTGATCAGATTTTTTTTTTTCTTTAGTAGATCACATTTTTCCTTTTGGTAAACATGTATATTGGTTTTTGCCGACTATAGATGTTTTTTAAATAAAATATTTAATTGGCTATGAAACGTTTTATTTGCGCACAGCCAAGTCTAAAATTGAAAACAAACTACTATTATTATTTGAAAATCGCACTGAAGGATGGTTTGAAATCAAGTTATAAACAAACAAAGAAAATAAATATGAACACATTACAGCGAATAGACAGATTTAAAAAGGTGAGTTTTGAGGTGGATTTTAAACTAAGGATCCCGGTTGGCAGTTAAATCAATAATTAGGGGGATGGAGGCTCAGAGGGAATGGATGCTCGTCTTCAAGTTGTTGAGGTGGACAGAGAGACAAATGGAGGAGGAAGACCTGTGGGAGCGGGAGGCGTGTGAAAGCAGAGGAGCTGTGACAGGTGTTGTGGATAGCTTTGAATGTAATGAGAGTCGTTTAAATTAGAATCTGGATTTCACCAGGAGTCAGTGTAGCTGCTGTGAAAGGTCCTTAACCATTCGGTGCTTTAGGAGGGATTTCAGTAGGAGGCTGTCAAAGAGAGAAGTATAATGGTCAAGATGGGGTTAACCAGGCCATGGAGGAGGAGAGCGGTGGAGAGGGGACTGAGGTGCTTTAAGAAGGGAAGGTAGGTGTGAAGGACTGAGGAGTAAGGACAGTGAGGCACTGGTGTATTTGTAAAAAAAAAAAACAGGGTTATTTTATTTAACCCAAAAAACAATACAATGTCACAAGTACAAAATGGATCCAAAAATTAAGTCAAAGGATCAAAAACTTATAGTAATGCTTATGGCAAAGTTCTATATCCGGAAATCCATTTGATAATTCTGGGTTGCTCTAAATTCTCTGTTACTCCTCCCATGTCTATGGGAACATGCTCTAATGTTTGCAAAACGGGTTATTCTGAGGGAATGGAAATCCTCTACACCTCCATGCTTTAAGAAATGGCTCAATGATATGGAGTCCTGTATCTATCTCGAAGAAATTTGTGTCCTTATGTCCTTGGTTATTTTTTTTTTTCTGATAAAATATCATTACTTTTTTTTTTTTCCCACTGAAAACTTAAACACCCACTGCAACGCCCATTTCTCTATTTCAATAATAATCTCTTGTATTTTCCAAACAGCTCCATCATCAAAAAGTGAACATCCAATTTTTTTTACCTATACCATTAAATTCATAATTGATCATAATTGAGAAAAGTAACAGACTTAAAATACTCCCCTGCGGAGTTCCATTTTCTACTGTATATTTTCCTGGGATCACTTCACCAATTCTAACCAATTCCAATTTCTATTTATTAAAAAGTCTTTAATCTATTAAGATATTTTCCTTTAATACCCAAAATGTTTAATTTAATAATCATCAATATTAAGGAATTAATAATTCCTCAACCCACATCATGTCATATACATAGGGTTAAAAGAACCATCGCTTCTCGCCTTTTCGGTTACGTCATCCGCACTGATTGGCCGTCTGTCGCTCCTATTGGACGGAAAGGCGGAAGCGAGGGAAGCACTGCTAACAACAACACAGACCGTCTCTACATAGTTTGTTGTGTCTTTTGGAGGAGTTTAAGGACCCTCATGGCTTTACCAGCCCAACTCAGAGGCATCCAGCACCACCTGCGGACCGCTCAGGAACATGAGAAACGGGACCCGGTGGTGACCTATTACTGTAAGCACTCTGCTAACGCTAGCTGTTAGCTTCTCGGCTTTGTTTACTTTGAAACAGGGCGGATGCTTTTAAATAAAAATGCTTTTATGACAGAAAGTTGTCATTGATAAACACATTTGAGTTGAGTTAAATAGTTGTATGTTACGGAAAAGTTGTTTTAACTGCTCAAACTGTTGGAGGAGGCTAACGCTTCCTTAGCATCAGCCAGACTCCTGTACGTGGGAGGTTTCTAAAAGTGTTTTTGACCTGAGGTGGAAACCTGATTTCAATTAATTACGTTTAAATGTTAGAATTTCTGTTAGCTTGATCAGGTGTTTGTTTCTCAGCCCTGACAGAATGACGCAGCAGGTTCAAGTACCTGTCCAACAGGTTCAGATTTAGAGTCCACAAAGGATAACAGTCTGAGTCTGCAGGAATGTACCAAAACTTCTGCAGTGGTGCTCAAAGGCTCCACCAAAGCGAAACAATAAAAGCCTCCCTGTGTATGTATGTGCGTCTATAGATTCGGTGAATCACTGAAGTGAACACACCCAGTTTCTTCTCAAGGGAATAACCCCGATCATCATAAATCATTTACAGTGTTTCTGCCTGTTAACATGAAATTTATTCTGCAACATCCATCTGAAAAATCTGTTCTGTAAAAATGTAATGGAGCAAGATGTGATTTCCAGTTAGTTCAGTCTGAAACCCAGTTTGTTTTCTTAAATTCTCACCTTTCATCACTTTCATTGTATCTGATCAAAGAGCTGAGCTTTCCTCACAGCCTTTTCCTGATATAATTACCATTAGGTGTGGGGAAAAAAGTTGTTTTGCGATATATCGTGATGTTTGGCTACCCGATATAATATCGATTTTAAAAGCAAAACATTTTACATAAAAAAATGAGGTAAAACGGGCTACCTCTGACCGCCATTGCTGTATGAAGCACCATGGAGTCCTTTACCTGTCAGGCACAGCACCATGTCTGTAGTTGAGGCAGTCGAAATAGAACACATGGACTGAATACAACCCCAAACAACATGGATACCAAAATAACTTACTGATCAATATCTTCTGATGAACATATACAGCACTTGCTGTTTTATCGATACATGTTATTTTGATAGTTGGGGAAAACTATCCTAATATATAGTGATATTGCAATATCGTGATAATATTTTACCAATTATTTGTGACATGTATCGTATCACAACACCAAGTCAAAACTCACCCCTAATTGTCATATAAATATACTATAACTTGCAGAGCGTTAATGATTTAAATGGTTTTCGTTTGACGTTTTCAATCAGAGGAAGTTTATAAAATATCCACAACTTTTTACAGTGATGGCTTTAACTGAAGGAAAAGTATGGGAACACTGACATCCATCCATCCATTTTCCGTCATGCTAATCTCAGGGACACTAGGGGTGAAACGGTTCACAAAATCCACAGTTCGGTTCACGGTTTCGTGGTCATGGTTTTCGGTTCGGTATATGTTTATTGTTAGCCTGACATGTTGGTCACGTTGCTGTTAGCATAAACAAAACGTGTTGCACAATGCTTGCACACTGTTGCACTTTTATCCACAACTTTCTTTCCACCATCATCGTAGCTCACTCTAAATGCAAAGTGGTCCCATACAGCAGACCTATAAAGTGCTGCTGGCGCGTCTTCCAACTTCTGTTCTTTCCCACTCGCCATACCCACACAATTCTCCACAACACCTGATTTTTTTCCCTGCTACACCCGGCTACGCTGCTTTGCTTCTTCTTCTTCTTGTTTACTACTGGTGGTCGCAGTACCGTCACCTTCTGCTCTGGAGTGTAAACGCTTCGTCATGAGAAAAAGGAGCAGCGCATGAACCGAACGCAACACATGCGAATCGAACCGAACAGTTCGGACGGTTTTCATAAACCGTTCCACCCCTAATAAATATATACAGGTGCTGGTCATAAAATTAGAATATCATGAAAAAGTAGATTGATTTCAGTAATTCCATTTAAAAAGTGAAACTTGTATATTATATTCATACATTACATACAAACTCATATATTTCAGATGTTTATTTTGTTTAATTTTGATGATTACAAATGACAACAAATGAAAATCTCAAATTCATCATATCAGAAAATTAGAATATTACTGAAGACCAATAAAAACAAAGGATTTATAGAAATGTTGGCCAACTGAAAAGTATGAACATGAAAAGTATGAGCATGTACAGCACTCAGTATTTAGTTGGGCCTCCTTTGGCCTGTATTACTGCAGCAATGCGGCGTGGCATGGAGTCGATCAGTCTGTGGCACTGCTCAGGTGTTATGATAGCCCAGGTTGCTCTAATAGTGGCTTTTAGCTCTTCTGAATTGTGGGTCTGGTGTATTGCATCTTCTTCTTCACAATACCCCATAGATTTTCTATGGGGTTAAGGTCAGGAGAGTTTGCTGGCCAATTAAGAACAGGGATACCATGGTCCTTCAACCAGGTACTGGTAGCTTTGGCACTGTGTGCAGGTGCCAAGTCCTGTTGGAAAATGAAATCTGCATCTCCAAAAAGTTGGTCAGCTGCAGGAAGCATGAAGTGCTCTAAAACTTCCTGGTATGTGGCTGCGTTGACCCTGGACCTCATAAAACACAATGGACCAACACCAGCAGATGACATGGCACCCCAAACCATCACTGACTGTGGAAACTTTACACTGGACTTCAAGCAACGTGGATGAAGTGCCTCTCTTCTTTTCCTCCAGACTCTGGGACCTTGATTTCCAAAGGAAATGCAAAATTTACTTTCATCAGAGAACATGACTTTGGACCACTCACCAGCAGTCCAGTCCTGATTCTCTTTAGCCCAGGCAAGACGCTTCTGACGCTGTCTGTGGTTCAAGAGTGGCTTGACACAAGGAATGCGACAGCAGAAACCCATGTCTTTCATACGTCTGTGTGTGGTGGTTCTTGAAGCACTCGCTCCAGCTGCAGTCCACTCTTTGTGAATCTCCCCCACATTTTTGAAGGGGTTTTGTTTCACAATCCTCTCCAGGGTGCGGTTATCTCTCTTGCTTGTACACTTTTTTCGACCACATCTTTTCCTTCCCTTCGCCTCTCTATTAATGTGCTTGGACACTGAGCTCTGTGAACAGCCAGCCTCTTTAGCGATGACCTTTTGTGTCTTGCCCTCCTTGTGCAAGGTGTCGATGGTCGTCTTTTGGACAACTGTCAAGTCAGCAGTCTTCCCCATGATTGTGTAGCCTATAGAACTAGACTGAAAGACCATTTAAAGGCTTTTGCAGGTGGTTTGAGTTAATTAGCTGATTAGAGTGTGGCACCAGGGGCCATCAATTTTGAACCTTTTCACAATATTCTAATTTTCTGATATGATGAATTTGAGATTTTCATTTGTTGTCATTTGTAATCATCAAAATTAAACAAAATAAACATCTGAAATATATGAGTTTGTATGTAATGTATGAATATAATATACAAGTTTCACTTTTTAAATGGAATTACTGAAATCAATCTACTTTTTCATGATATTCTAATTTTATGACCAGCACCTGTATATATATATATAAGGGATGGAACGGTTCACAAAATCCACGGTTCGGTTCGATTCACGGTTTCTGGTCACGGTTTTCGGTTCGGTTCGATACATGTTGATTGTTACACCGAAATCCCATAAAAATTTATGGAATTGATGAAAAAATCCCCCCAAAAATAATGGATTCTAATTATTTTAAATGATCCGCGGAAACCCTGGATCATTTCCGTATGTTTTGCTGCTTTGAATTTAATCATCTCGCGCATGCTCTCTACCATCTCCAAGGGACTCAGAGCGGAGGGGACGAAGCCACAGTGGGGGCTGTAGGCTTTGCTTTGAGCAGCCGGTCTGGAGCGCAGCGGAGCGCTGACGGAGTATGAGGGATTTTGGGGTTAGCATGACATGTTGGTCATGTTGCTGTTAGCATAAACAAAATGTGTTGCACAATGCTTGCACACTGTTTTTATCCACAACTTTCTTTCCGCCGTCAATCTAAATGCAAAGTGGTCCCATACAGCAGACCCACTCGCCATACCCACACAATTCTCCACAACAACTGATTTCTTTCTGCTACACCCGGCTACGCTGCTTCGCTTCTTCTTCTTCTTGTTTACTACTGGTGGTTGGCTTTGGTCGCAGTACCGCCACCTTCTGCTCTGGAGTTTAAACGCTTTGCCTATGAGAAAAAGGAGCAGCGCATGAACCGAACGCAACACACGCGAACCGAACCGAGACAGTCGAACCGAACGGTTCTGACGGTTTTCATAAATCGTCCCATCCCTAATATATATTATAATACATTAAAACGCATTAAATTAGAGTTACTCATTTCTGTATAAACCCTGTAGTCTCTGACTGACTTAAAACACTATATTTCTGAATCAGAAATGTTAAAATTGACTTTATCTGCGATAAAACCTAGTGAAAGTATGAAATCAGTGAAATAATTCTTAAGTATTTTAATTTTATTGATATCTTAACACTATCATATTGACTGAAATAAATGTGTTATGATAGAAGTTGTGACCATGGTTTTAATTTAGTGCATAATAATAGCTGAAAAACAGTTTGTGGATGAAGTCAGAGCTCCACATGGTTTCCTCCTGACCTTTAAGATCTCATTGGTCTGGATCATGGAGCCGTCTGTAGCTCTATAGTGGACCAGTGATGGAGGCGGGCCACTGGAGGTCAGCAGCACCATGTGTTTGGGCCTCTGGCCTCGCTGGGACTCCTCATACCTTCATCATCTTTAGACTCTAAAGTCTAAATCAGCTGATCTGAACCAGCCATGTTCTGACATATTTAACATTGTTTGTCTTTTAAATATCCTGCATTTAATCTCTAAACCAAGTCACTGCAGAAAATTTGAGAACCTTGTGAGAATAAACTTCAGACAGTTTCTGTTCTTCCCTTTGGTTCAGAAATGATGTTTTTAAGGCTCTTCCTGCACGTTTTACATAAAAGTGAACCTTTAAATACGTTTATTGC